CAACCGTTTCTTCTTTAGGAAAACATTGAAAGTGATATCAAATAGTCTCACACGAGATCTTCGACGTGTGTAGTCCAGTTATGATTTACCCCATTAACGAACGAAACGGGACGGAAGAGGGGTAGTTTGGTTGCAAGGATTCTGGTGGTTAGAGAGGGAAGACGTCGTTCGCGATGCTGGATATTCGGCGAGTCGATTAGCCGGGCGTGCAGCAACGAAAACCCTTCCTACCGCCCTTGGGAACGCGCGAGAGTTTTAATTGTAGGCCGCGGCCATCGTAGGGGGAGGCTATTATTCTTTCTCTCGTCGGTAACGCGCCGATCCGCTTCATCCGGGACTCGAAGAAAAGAGAAGAGAAACAGGAAAGGGAGAAAGATATAATAACAAAGCGCCCGGGCCGCTCTCACGGCTCGAAAAAAAACGAGCATTCGTTCTTTTCGTCCGTCCGTTCGTCCGTCTGGCAGTTTCATATCCGAAAGAACGCACGAGTCTCCAGCGGTACAATTTTTCATCGTTCATGCCTGCGCAACACGGTGCTCGCACGCCTCTTTTCCGCCTACCTCGTGCCCTCCGCTGGCCGTCATTCATCATCCCTTAACGCGATCGGCGTTTACTTTATTTCGGAAAAGCTCGCTGGCGCCACCTGGCCGAATATCGATACTCGCGGCGAATCGACCTGCCCCGAAACTGGAAGGTTCAAACGCTTCGATCAATCGCGTCCTTAATTAACCAGACATAATTCACTCTCTAAGGAGGGCGGGGAATCGAAGAAATAGTTCTCGATCTCATTATACAGGATGTCCCGTAACATGTGGGATCATCAGCAATGGATTCTGCGCGCGAATACCTATTTTACTTTGTTTGGAAGTATTCTTTCGAAAGATAAGAATAGTCGAACTAATTAACGTAACTCGATATCGTTGAATCTTGTATTTTAATTCGGCGAACACTTCCCCTTAGTGTGTCGAGTTGATAATCAACAAATGATAGATCTGAACCTGATGTAGAACTATGTATAAACAATACCTGAACAAATAGAGTAGATTAAAGATAGTAAAACTGACTATAACACGAAAACAAAATTACACAGAAATCGTACGAACTTTCTTGTTCTCTCGTGTAGAATCCATTCCTGAAGCAGCTCCTTATTTATTACATTTCGCCAAAGTATACTACAATCGACTACAATTATACTCAGATAGTCATCACGAGTACATGAAACGCGTCTAACGATCAGACGTTAAATGTATCTTGTACGCTCTCATTGTTTCTTATTTACTCTCACCAAGCTAGTTTACAGAGTGTTTAATACGCGTATCAAGTAGTTGATTCGTATCAAACGCTCGATGTAAATGATGCTACATGAAATTAGTACGATAAGTCTGAGGAAAGCGTGTCGAACCAAAATAATACGCGCGTTAAACTGTACGATTCTCGTATAGTTTAAAAACAGATGCATCAAGGTTATGTTCGCTCGTGCCTCGTTATAATCATCTACATAAATCTGTGTGAAATGCAAAAAGCATACAAGACTCGAGGTTTACTCGTTGGGCTTACCGCTGCTTGAAACTCCGTCAATTCCAAAGCTGAGTATTATCGTTCTAAAGTTTGCATTGACTAAATTCAATTTCAAAAATAAATGTTATATATAGATGATTTAATGCAGGGAGAGTTAATTTGTAGACCTAATATTAGGAAATATTAATATTATATCGAGTCGATTATCTTATGTCGTGGGTGTTCCACAGCATTTTACAAGGTTTGCGTAACACTATTAGAATGAGAATTGAATTACATTCGTGAGAATCCGAGGAACAAAATTTGTAACAACTAGCTTATCACTGCCTTCATAGTCGTAATTTTGATAAATATTGTAGCACGAAAGTATAATATGAGCTTGCTCCGCGACGAGGGTGCACGGGCGTATTGTGGCGTCGTATGGCTTTGAAAGGGAACCGGAGGGTGGCCGTACAGTGCTTGTGGAAGGCGTAAAATAAAACTCGGACAATCGACTGGGGGTTAAGTTTAAAGAGCGTCTCGGATCCCTTGAATTATCCGCTCAGGGAGACGGGAAGACTTTGTCGGCAGGGCAGCCTCGGCGTCATCGAAAGCAATCCTTTGGGTCCTTCTTTTAACATTTTAGCCGGTGGTGAATGGAGATCACACGCGGTTCCCACTGTATCGAGTTTCAGGTTAAGGGAGACGCGCAACGAAGAAAGAGCAAGAAGCACTTGGGGCATTATGCGTCCGAGGGAGAATACGAATCCATTCACCGGCAATCATCCGTTCACCCAAGCGTTCTTGCTTACCGTCTCCGTTCATTCATTCCTCCTCGTCGGTGAAACTACTCGGAGTAATTCACGCTGAAAACGGGGTAAACTGCTCGGGTGAATCGTACGAGGAGAAATAATGAAAAAAAGGAAAGAAGAAAAAACCGCTTGCACGTAATTTCGAAGCGGACGTTCGCGAGAATTCTGAAACGAGCGATGCAATCGCGAGCCCGATCGCCGTGCCTACGAGTAGAAAGTAAAGTCGGCGATCGTTGGTTAAATGTCGCAATTATAATACGCGGCGTCATGCCGTTTGAGCAAACTAACGGCGTTCCGCTTCGACTGTCCGGGTTCGCTCGACGTTCGTTCGACGTTGCGTCGGTGCAATTTTTCGGCCCGAGACCAATCATTAACGAGATTTTCGATGACAACCACGCGACGTTACGCAAAGATAACGTTAAGCTCGAGCCGCGAACCGCCGTTGGTGGCCCGATAAATAAGTTGGCAGGTACGCGATATCATTAGCGCCACACGATAATGGTCTCGACCCCCAAGGCTACGATTATTATATCCCTACACCGCCGCGGATCGAACGCTAAAAAGTCGCGCTCATCGGCGCGGCACACGCAACTTACTGGCGTTACGGATATACACGGCACACTATCCTGCTATTACGTTACGCTACGAGTTACTTTATCGCATTAATCTGCCGCGTACGTGATCGCGATTTTTCAGAAAGTTTCTCACCTGGTTTTTAATCGAAGCCATAACTCAACGAGGGGCCCCGATACACCGGGTTGTTTGACTTGCGTCGATAACCGGCTATTTTCTAAACCGATCCAAATTGAATTAACCCAGGCGACAAACGCTGCGCCGATTCTAATAATTGAATTTTAACCCCTTGCCAAGTTTCACAATCGTGAGGCTACTCACTCGTCGTCAAGTCTTACGTAATAAAATCAACACATTTTTGCATTCACGAGGTATTTGTAAAACTGTTCTTTTTCATGATCATACGAACAAATTTTGAAAAAAATTAAATAGATACGTTTGAAAGATTATTTGGAATTAAATCGTACGTCAAGGGGTTAATTGAGCGGCGAATAACTGCGAATAACTTTGACTTCGTTGTGCTACGGACTATAGCGACACGCGTACTGACAGTACAAGCCAAATTTGAACGAAATCGGTAAAGTAGATCTTGAGATATCATGGAAGCCAATTTGGAAAAGATAGTTTTGAGAAAAACGCTTTCAAACAAAAAGGTCAGACAGAGCAATACGTCTAAGTTCGTTAATTTTAGGAGTTCGGTAACATGTTTTTGCTCATATATTTCTAAAAAAAAAAATCGAATTTTTTGGCGGTTCACAGTAGAAGACCCCTTTAAGCAGACGATACCTCGTTCGAGGAATTCCATGAACGCGAGATTTTCGATCGAAACCGTGTAAATCGAGGAAACCTGTCCCCGATGCGGAACGATAATACCATGGACCCCGTTGGACGTTATCTGGCCGGTCGCCTCCCACGCGCGACTCCGAACAAGTATCGAACGAGAAAAAATGGAAAGGCTGGCCGTAGGAGAAGCCTTGGGGAGGAAAGGGTAAAAGCAACGGCAACAACGATTAAAGCAAAAGGCAGGGAGAGGAGGAGAAGACGTGGTGGAAGAAGAAGAGGAAGAGGAGGAAGAAAAGAAGAAGACGAGGACGAAGAAGACGATGTGGCGACCGCGGCGGTAAACCACGTGATCGTAGCGTGTTTTAATTGGTCGGGAGTGTGGTCTGCGGCGCGATGGAGGGAGGAAGCGGTAGACAGAGACAGAAAAAGAGGGCAGGGGGGCGGAGAGGGTTCGTTAGGGTTGCCAGGAGGATTAGAGAACCGCGAGGTTGTACGAGGAGGCCCGTTGCGAGGGCGGTCGCTGCTTCTGCCCCACCAGTAACACCTTCCAGGATGGAAACACACTTGTGGAGTTCCTGCGGGATGTGCTCGGTTCGCCACCACCCGACGCACTCTCTCGTTGCACGCATTCGCGTATACGGAACACCTTTATGCTAAAAGACGAGCGGCGAAGGGACGGAGGAGCAGGAAACGGAGAAAGAGCGAGGATCCGCCTCCGTCGGAGGCGCTCCTCTCCTACGTGGGGGACGAAAAAGCTCAGTTATAATTGTTGCACGCCGCGAGCTGCATCTCTTGGAGTCCTTTCGTTTAATTGTAACCTCCTTCCGCGTTGCAAACGGACACGCACCGCGTTCTCGAGCATCGACCACGCGAGTCGTCCTGCGTCCTCGACCGACCTCCTTGTCGACTGACCTCCTCCGCTACCATCTGTGGCCAACAGCCACAGAAATTACTGTGATTACCAGGATATACGAGGGGCCACGGCAACCTTCCACAACGGACTACCGATGCCGAAGATCGACGCCGCCTCGCGATCGACCATCGACACCGGACTCTCTCCGAGCTTCAAGGATCTATAACGGGAGCCGCGATCTCTTCTCCTTCGTACGACCGATCCGTGAACCAAACCGACGTACGCGCGTACGGGAGACATGTTCATCGACTGCCAAGTCCAACGTCCTCAAACTCGTATTCGGAGCTGTTGTTCGCGAAGCTGACCTGTGCGAGCGGTTTCAATCGTCGACGGATTAAACAGTTTCTGTGAGACCACAGTGCTAAACACGTCGTTTTCGCTAGTTTTGAACTTGGACAAGTTGTAGACTCGAAGCAATCGTCATGAATTGCGCGTATCAGTACTCGCTGCCTGCCCACCCGCAGAACGTCATGACCATCCCATCGACGGCTGTCCAGCAACCGCATCATTCCACTGATACTGAATATTTGGAGGTAATGCACCAGTATTTTGAATTATTATTTATCTATCGGTGGGCACGCTCGTATTTGTCGAATTTCGAATTTATTACGAATCGATCCTTTTGATACAAAATAATTGCTTCCTTGACGTTGCTATGTAAATAATGAATTAAATTTTTTAAATATAAGTAAGTGCCAGATTTCCACAGAGTTCTCTTTCGGTTAACGGTAGAATTTGGTTGTTTTATCATGAGATGTTTGTTAAAATGTATGTTACAAGCAAAGATGTTTTGTTAATGCTCGCAGGTAACGTTTATTTCTCGCTCATCCTTTTCCCCTATTTTCTAAAATTCTTTGACTGTATTTCATTGGTATTTTAAGAGCGAGGATTTAATAAAATTCTATTCATAAAACTCACAAATATTTCGGAAACAATTAGGATCATTGGGTCTCCTAACAAGTGGATAAAACAAATATTCTACATTATTATTGGATAAAAGTCTAACTATTGTAAAATTTAAGACATGGATGTACAAAGAACGAGCGGTCGCCGTTTGGGTAACTATTTTAACGATAGCCACGCGAGTGCTGAGCAAGTATAATAATTTCTTCATGAATCTTTTTTTTTTAAATAAAACTGATACGAAATATGTCTGACTATTGTGATATTTGTACTCCATATAGTGTAAAACAAGAAACAACAGCACTGTTGCCTTCTAAAAAGGTCTCTTTTATTTAAAAATTATAATAAAGTAAAGAACAATTAGTTTTATTAACGAAAATTAGAAAAATTCTAGAATACAAGCATCATATGAATTGTTGCTGTATATTGTTAATTCGTACTACAAACTTCGATCTTAATGTGATAGAATGATCTCTTTTCATAAAATATTAGCTTGTAGCTACTCAACATTTTTAAGCTATAAATAATTAAAGTAAGACAATTGTAAATTCTGTGTAACCACATCGACTACTCATAGGATGTCTCATAAAATTTAATATCAATTCAGTACATAAGTTTTTGTGTACATTATGTAATAGATTAAATTGCTTGTAAGTGTCGTGCAGTCTACATCAGGCTATGTCACTTACAGATGATTCACCCTCCTAATTGCTACAGTATTGCAACATCAATAAACTCCCACTTGGTACATGTTTTCTTCCAATAGAAAAATACACAAAAACATATGTTTATACAGAACTTATAATTGCCCCACTTTGTATCTTGAAAAGTGTTGAATATTGACACCTAATATTTCACATACACCAAAAGGGATCTCTGTACCATCGTTCTGCAAAAGCTCATTAAAATCGAAGTCGTGCAGTTCGTGTCCTTCCCTCATTAGAGGCTGGGACACGAAAACGTCCTTGAAAAGACAGCCCTAGCTCGAGGTAAGAACGTGCTTCGGAACTTTCGTCAAGCCGCTGCCAATATTTGACAGACTCTATCGACGCCGTCCCCTCTGCGACGACATCCTGGGCGGTCCAGGAACACCCCCTGTTAATTGTTCATCTCCCGGATAGCGAAAGAGGCCAATGCGAGGTCGCGCACACCCCCGATTCTCCTTAACGCGCTGCCAATTCATCAGCTCTCGCTGAGAATTCAATTTGCGCGATTGCCAATCGGATCTTGGAATTCGATTTTAACAAAGCCCCGAATCCCCCGTCGTGCCTTCGCGGGGAAAAAATTTTACGAGGCACCCGTGGGACGAAATGGATTTAATAAAATTTATATATCAGTTAACCTTATATTAGTCTGCGTGTTGCATTCTTTTTGGTGAACGCGAAATGATTGCTTGAAACGACCTTTCATCGTAAAATCGTATATTTTAAGGACTATGCATAGCGATACTGACACTATTGTCTCGTAATTTAATCGATTTGCAATTAAAAAAAATTAAGATTAATATTTTTTTTAAGGATCGAGATGTTCCGTAGTATTTTTAGAACATTGAATTTCAACTGAATCTTGGTACCACTCCCTAGATTTGATAGTACTTCCGATAGTAAATCCTCGATACAAGACTTAATAGAGATTCCAAGACGTCGATATATGTATTTATTGCAGTCTAGTAGCTATCCTCACTTTAAAGGATTAATATCTTTAAATACAACGTACGTAACAAAAATAAATATCTGATGATTCTTTATAGAAATTCACACCCCTACCCCCCCTCCCTCCCATGAATACTCTGGCCCCCCTTGGGGTTAGCGATTAAGACCGCTTGGAAGCATTCGAATTAACGAACGTAAAAATAGTTACGGTCTCTGAATTTGCAAACCGGCTGCGAAGCGGTCGCTGTATCGCGGACGATGGTTCGCGTCGTGCCTCCGGAGCGGTCATTAACGAACAAAATGACGTTCACGGCAACAATAAATAGGAGTCGATCGGCTCGCGTGAAAGGTTGGGGAAGAAACGTCAACTTTCACGCGGCCGAGGCGAACGAACGAACGAAGAATCGAGGGGAAAGAGAGAGAGGGAACGAAAGACAGAAATAGCGACGTAGCTGGGGGATATAAATATAAGGGCTCGATACGTAATTATAGTGATTACCGTATTGCCAGGGGGCGGACGAGGGCGTCCCTCAGTTTGCACGTCATTTTGCAATCTCAACTTCCAACGAACATGCGCGCGAATTTGTCGGCGGTCCTTCGCCTGGCTAATTGTTTCCCCCTTTTTGCGTTAATTCTTCACGCTTCTACCTCTCTCCTACTCTCTCTTTCTCGTTCCTTTTGTCCGCGACGACGCGTGTTCCGGAAGAAAACCGCCTACGACGCGAGAGCACCCCCGCGTCGGACGGAGTAGCTTAATTCGCGACACGGGAGGGTGGTTTCGAAACGTGAGTAGAAAATATTAAGTAAAATTTCCGCGGGTCCTCCTCCTCGAGGAACTCGAGGCTCGCAGGGTCTCCGTCGAGCTGCGTGCGTTCGATTCGTGGTTTCGTAATCGGTATCGATCGTCGCTCCGTCCGATAAAAAGTAGCTCGTCGAAGCTAACCCGGTATTCGCGAAACGTGTGGCGCAGCCGCGGTACATTACCGTCACGGTGATTTTCTGTCGACGATCTATAATTATTACCATTCTTAGTAATTATACCAACTATGGTACGTACTACTCTTGCATTATCTCCTCGTTCCGCGGTCGCTATTAAACGCTCGTTTGCATTGTTCGCTTAATAACGTTATTTAGAATGATCGCAATTAACGTTCTCGGATGTTTTACTTTTGCACGGACGTTTATTCCGATTATTCGCGTGGATTCGGTTGCGTAACGCCGGTCGATTTCCACGCCGGGGAACCAAGAGAGTTCCTTGTTTGCGGATTACGCGCCGACAGAACAACCGGAGCGCCGCCGCGTGAATTACGGAGGATCGGCTTCTTTCCTCCCCGTGGAACACCCCATAAATCTGGCCGGGAGCGTCTCTCTATTCCGGACCACGATGTAGACGGAACCGCGAACTGTACGCCGGCCCCGACCCGGCCAACGAGTCCGTAAATCAGTCCTAGACAAGTTTCTCTTCGCCTTGTTTCACGGCAAAACGTGCTGCTCGACCTTAAAAGCCTCAAAGAGATGCTTCTACGCGCCTCCCATCGGCCGTGCATCTGCCCGCGAGAGACGGATAGCCGACAACGGTCAAACCGACCGGTAATATTTATTTGACCGTGGCCAGTGTATCGCCATAATTCTTTTCGACAATTGGAACACCGCGACCGACCGTATTCCGCGACGGAAATAACTCGAACGATGAACTTTATCCGCGGTGTTTCGCCATTCAAACTTTACGAGCCTCCTACGTACGATATTTAACACCCTCCCCTCTTCTGGGGCCCGCCATCTTGACTAAATTGGTAATTTACCATTACTTACTCGTTAATATCTAGCAAAAAACATTACTTCGCAAATAGAAGCAACATAGTGTTATAAAAAGTCTGTGGATCTTTATGCAAAATCATATTTTTGAAATGGGAGTTTCGTTGAGGGTTGCTTCCACCCCCACATATAATAATTCGCATCTTATTTTAAGTAATCCTTATATTTTTGCATATTAAGTGAATTCTGTAGTTTTTTAAGAATCACAACTTCCCATAAATGCATAAACATCCGCAGTTTACTAATAAACAACGTTGAATAAAAACAAATAAGAACGAATACGAGTGAGAGTAACTGTAAGATATTCTTGCAATTGACTGGAGTCTAGTCGTTGCTGGACATAAAATGTACTGGTAAGGGATTAACAAATTATGGGGAGAGGGTTGTCGAACCTACCACGTGGAAATGCTCCAGAGTCCCCTAATTACCAATCCGATCGAGTCGCCCTAATTGGTACTCCGTGACTGAATACTAATCGAACTTCCTTCCTTCTCCATTTATAACCGAATCCGGGAGAATCTATGCAGATTATGATTAGATATTAGTAGGGAAGTATCATAAAATCCGAAAAGTTTGAAAGCCACAAAGTAAAAATTTTGCAAAGGATGGAAAAGACTTGGGTGAAAGAAATGAAGAAGTAAAGGTGTGAAATTATCATAAAAGAATTGGTGTTCTTAGGATTTTTATTCGAGGTATTTTTCAATTTAAAAATATAATTTTCGATGAACTATCAAAGCCCTATATTCGCAAAGAAGAATCTTCTTTCTTTGAGTACAATTATTGTAGTCACAATATAGTAATATGCAATTATCACAAAAGAATTGTTTTTAAAATTTCTTATTTGCAAAGAATAATCGATGGTTATCTCTACATATATCGTCGTGCACGAAAAAGCACTACTCTGCACACGTTTCTGTCTGAAATAAAAAATCAACATCCAGGGTAAAACGAATATATTCTCGTGCTCTGAAAATAATGTGCATTCATGTACAGCGAGCATAAACGATTCGAGCATGCGGTCTCGCTTGTAATACACTTTTAAAGAACCCATGAATATTTTAGGTCTCCAACCTGGTGTAACTTCTTTTCTTGGTTAGATGGCAAGGTTCTGATTAACGATAGTAGATGGTAGATCTCGGACAGAAACGAACAAATCTCTTTTC